TGCAGAACCTGTACTCGAAGGAATTGATTGGAGCGGGTGACTGCGTAAAAGGTCTATATAAGATGGGGATGATTGGAAATAAAAGACAAGTGATGATGACCACTCCTAGTACATGGCATAAGAGACTGGGCCACACGTCTATCTCCAAACTTAATAATGTTGGTCTTATTAAAGATGTTTCTTTAAAAGGTTTTTGTGATTCTTGTAATAAAGAAAAATTTGCTAGACTTCCATTTCCGGTTAGTAAAACAAAAACTTATGCTTGTTTTGATCTTATTCAATGTGATGTTTGGGGTAAATATCGAACGCCATCCTTTACACAAGCAAACTATTTTCTTACGATAATTGATGATTTTAGTCGCGTCGTCTGGGTTTTCCTTCTCAAGAATAAACACGAAGCTAGCATTCAACTGGTGAATTTTCATAAGATGGTTCAAGTCCAATTCGATAAAAACATCAAAAAATACGATGCGACAATGGAGGTGAATTTACCTCAAATGACATGCTTGATTTTTATGCTAAAGAAGGGATTGTGTTTGAAACAGCTTGCCCACGCACCCCTCAACAAAACGGTGTGGTGAAAAGAAAGCACCGTCACCTTTTGGAAACGGCGCGGGCACTAAAATTCGAAGCGAATTTACCTACAAGGTTTTGGGGAGAGTGCATACTAACAACCACTCACATCATAAATCGCCTTCCTTCTGATGTAATAGATGGAAAGACGCCTTATGAATTAATAAGCAACCGCAAGCCCGAGTATGAACACCTAAAAGTTTTTGGGTGCCTTACGTATTATAGGAGGAGTGAAAATAAGGGGGATAAATTCGAGCCGAGGGGGAGACCTGGGGTCTTTATAGGTTACCCCCGAAGCACCAAGGGATACAAGATATATGATCTAGAACATAAGAAGATCGTAACTACAAGAGATGTGAAATTTGTTGAGAGTGTCTTTCCTTTCAGAAAATTAAAAATAACAGGAGAGGAAGAAGAGATTTTTGTTTCACCAAAATACTGGGAAGATGAACTCATGCATAAAAATGAGAAGCAAAATGATCAAAATATCACAAAGGAAATGGATGCTGTTGATGTCGAAAACAATGAGGATCCCACATATGATGTTAATGGGCTTATTCAAGATAACGAATTGGATCAAGAAACTCAAAATCAGGACCAACAAAATGAGGAACAATCTTGAGAGGTTCCTAGTGGGCCTGAACACCAAGAATCAATTATTGAAGACATGGATGCTAGAAATGGATCTGGAGTGGAAAAGAGACCAACGAGAAATACGTTTAAACCTACACGTCTTCAAGATTATCACGTGAAGTTGCCCCCATCTTTAGACCATGCGCATTCCACCTCTGACTCCGATCACGAACCTTCAACGGTACACCCCATAGCACATTTTATTTCATATAATAATTTTTCAGACTCACATAAAGCTTTTTTGGCGGCCATTACTCAACATAATGAGCAAAGATTTTTTTCCCAAGCTGTTCAAGATCCAAAGTGGGTGGAGGCTATGAAGGCGGAAGTGAAAGCTTTAGAAGAAAATGGAACTTGGACTCTTCAAGAACTCCCAAAAGGGAAACGAGCCATCGACTCGAAATGGGTGTACAAGATAAAGTACAAACCGAACGGTGAAATTGAACGATACAAGGCGCGTCTCGTCGCCAAGGGCTTCACACAAATGGAAGGGATCGAATTCCATGATACCTTCGCCCCCGTAGCAAAACTTGTCACCGTTCGAAGCCTTCTTGTTGTTGCTGTGAAAAGAGACTGGCATATCCATCAACTGGATGTTAACAATGCCTTCCTGCATGGCGATCTGGATGAAGATGTCTATATGAAGGTTCCACAAGGATTTGGAAAACAAGATGACAAACGCGTTTGCAAACTAAGAAAATCTCTTTATGGGCTCAGCAAGCATCAAGAAACTGGTATAAAAAGTTCACTAGTTTCTTAAAGAGTTTGGGTTTCAAACAATCAGTAGCAGACCACTCACTCTTCCTGTTTAAAAAATAAGAAGTTTTTGTTGTTGCGCTCATTTACGTTGATGATGTCATCATTGCGGGTAATGACGAAATCAAAATACAAGAAATCAAAGGGAGGCTTGATAAGGAGTTTAGCATTAAAGATCTTGGCCCGATAAAGTTCTTTCTTGGCATCGAAGTTGCACGCACAAAGAAAGGGATGGTCTTGAGCCAACGCAAGTATACTCTAGACATATTAGAAGACACAGGGATGATGGGTTGTCGTCCAAGTTCGTTCCCAATGGAACAAAATTTAAAATTGGACAAATGAAGCAATGAAGCACGAGTAGATGAAAACCAGTATAGAAGACTTGTTGGGAGACTCCTGTATTTGCAAGCCACGAGACCCGACATTACCTACGCCGTAAACATCTTAAGTCAATTTGTTGGTGATCCTAGAGTGAGTCATCTTGAAGCTGCTAATCGTGTGCTGCGTTACCTAGGCATACTGCTTACCAAAGATGGGGGTACAAGTCTAACAGCCTACTGTGACTCTGATTGGCTTGGATGCCCTATCACAAGGAGGTCGAGAACAGGTTACTTGTTACTTCTGGGGGAGCTCCTGTATCATGGAAATCAAAAAAACAATCAGTGGTTTCTCGATCATCTGTCGAAGCGGAGTATCGAGCTATGGCCTCTACAGTTAGCGAAATCCTTTGGCTAAGATGGTTACTAAAGGAGCTCGAGATGCCATGTGACGGGCCTACACAACTGTTTTGCGACAACCAAGCTGCTCGACACATAGCCAATAATCTCATTTTTCATGAACGAACCAAGCATGTTGAGATGGATTGCTACTTTGTTAGAGAACGGGTCGAGTCAAAAGAGATTGTTCCCATGGCAATTGATTCCAAGTTACAGATAGCTGACATTTTTACCAAACCTTTGGGAACGCAAAGTTTTCATGCACTTCTCGACAAGTTGGGCATCATGAACATCCATGCACCAACTTGAGGGGGAGTATTGACAACCTTTTTTCTCCTTGTTTCCAGGAGAGTATCTTTTCCTATTTTACCCCTAATCATAGGCTTAATCTACTCCTTGTTTCCAGGGTTACTTTGCTTATTCCTCTATATATTTCATTCCTCTGTAATCTATTGATACGAATGAAATAAGAAACCCTTTGATGACCAAACTTATTATGGTTTGTATGCATTGTATGTATATTGGAGTATGTGGTATATTGGGGAATTCATTATGGTTTTTTATGGAATCTAATTTCAACTTTCATTTGTTGCACATTATAAACATTTTTAATCTTAAAAGTGATTTGATCCATAATAATAACATTATATTCATCCGATTTCATTTTAATGAACATTTTTTATTATAATTCGAATGTTTTTTTTCTTGTTGTTTATAGTGTTCATAATGGTTTTAGCATTAGAATATGAATGAAACATTTGATTTGTTCGAAACAAAGAGAAACATCATTCTTGTTGGGAAAATGCATATCAAATTTTATTTATGGGATGTTGAGAGATTATAACAAGTGAAGTACAACAATCTAAGTTTTCTTGGTATCTTTGATTGATTTAAGAATCAAACTTAATGACAGTTTCAAATACCAATTTATATCTGGAATCTAATATAATTCTTCTTGTTTACCCCGTCAGAAACATACTTAGACCGGACTAGACATATGTTCTCCACATGCTACAATCTTTAACCATCACACAAATAGATTTTGATATATATTTTTTCAATAAAACTTGGAAACAACTTATTTCTTCTTCTCTTGAAAAAATATCAAATGCTTCTTTTATTTTAATGTTATAACTATTAAAAACATCATAAATAACATTAAAAAACATAAGAATTACGAGCCAAAACAAAAAAGTTGTTTCAAAATAAAAAGTTTGTCAAATGTGAATGGTTTTTTGGGAAAAAATAGTTGAGGGTGATTTCCGAAAAAAAAAACTTGATGAGTTTTTTAGATTTTTTGTTGTCCAAAATCGAAAAATTAGGGATGGCTTCGAAAAAATCGAATCAAAAAAATAAAATAAAAAATTATAAAGTTATTTATAGAAAAAAAAAAGTTTGGATTTAGTTAAAAAAATCCCAAGATACGGTTTTTATGATATTATTAACACTATTTTTAATCAAAGGTTTTTGTATTTATTGTAAAAAGGGAAGTTCAAATGCAAATAGTTAGTTCTACGCGTTTCTGCAACTTCTACTAAACTTCTTCGTAAAACCATAATTCTGCAATCCTCGTCGATCTACGCGTTCATTCTCATGTACACTTGTTTCCCGCCAATTACTTGTTTGTAGTGGGGCCAATAATATTACGGCTCTGGATTCCGATTTTCAAACCGTACATTACATTATTTTTATGATAAAACGGTTTTTACCCATTTTTTTCTGTCTTTAATGGGTCGAAGGAATTACCATACATCATCTACAAATTATTGGAACTTTCATAGTTACTACTTAATTTCATATAATGTTACTTTTAGAAAGAAAAGAAGAGCCCATTACTCGTTTGTATATGGGACTACAAGTGCTGGGGAAGGTCCCTTTCCATGTTTGCTTGGTCCGATAATATAATGTTTAACAAATTTTGGCTCATCTGAGATTAACTTTCAGTGTTAAAATGGCATTAATTATGTAAAGGACACTTTTTTTTTTGAAATGAAAGGGTGTATATAAAAGCTATGAAATTTTTTATTAGTGTACCTATTGAAAAGTGTGAATTTCAGCAATCTCGTTGACTAGCCATATGGGCAGAGACATAGATTTTGTTATTAAAGAGAAACAAGAAAAATGATATGGTGTTGGACCCTACACCTTCAACTCATTAAATGACAAACAGACACCTGCATCTGAGGTACACATTGATTTACTTGGAAGTTTCATACAACCTTCCAGTCAAATGAATCTCCCTATAAAAGATCCTTAATTATTTGGCAGTTTACAGTTAACATCGCTTTGATTCCTAATATTGTCATAACTTGTTGGTGTATTATGGTACCAAAGCGACCCTTAAGCGAGGAGGAGGAAGAAGGAAATAGTTCTGGATTTCCTAATCCGGAATCAAATGAAAGTGGGTCTTCAAGGTGAGTGATTTAGATTCTGTACAACTTCCAATCACTTTACGAGTTTTGATTTGCAAATTAATCTTCTTGATATATGTTTCAATTGCAGCAATGTTAGAAATGTGATGCATATGTTTTCTCATGAAGAATTTGAGGCAAGATTGGAACCATTAATTCGAGGAGTGGTACTATGATCATGTCTTCTTTGTGAACTTATTAACAGTTTGGAATTCATTACACATTTACATGTTCTTTTGATAGGTGCAAGATGGGGTGCAGCTCGCATTTCAAAATTTCTTTGGTACACTACCAAGGTTGTATCTCTATCTCATGTTCATGTTGTCATCTCCACATATTATCTATCTTTATATATATATATATATATATATATATATATATATATATATATATATAAGATTTTGATGCATGCTAATGGTTTATTAATTTGGCATATGTAATAGTTGTGTGTATTTCTTGTTTCTTCTATAGATCTCCTTCTGATGCACTTGATACGGCTAGTACACCATCCTTGCAGCTTCGTTTCCTGAATAGGCTGCTTCCTACATTTTTCACTGGAAATAGGATAGAATCTGAGGACAGGAGTGGTATAAAAGTAGGGTTATTTGATACTAATTCCAATAAGATTGTGTCGTTTGGACCCTTGTCTTCACAGAAGATAGTGCTTGTTCCTCTTGATGGCGATTTCCCTTTTGATGATCAGGAAGATTGGTCTGAGAGTTATTTTGATGCCAAAGTTGTATCTGCAAGAGATGGCAAAAGGCCATTGCTGACTGGGGATCTTGTAGTGGCTCTGAAAGATGGGGTTGCTGATTTAGGCGATGTTATTTTTACTGATAATTCATGCTGGAGGAGGAGCAGGACGTTTAGGTTAGGGGCAAAAGCCCAATATGCAACTGGTGGAGTCAAAATTAAGGAAGCAAAGAGCCAAGCCTTCGTGGTAAAAGACCAGCGAGGAGAGTGTAAGCTCCCGTTTCATATTTTATACACATCTCTTCTACATTCTTTATATTCTAAAGCTTTTATATATATATGAAAATGGTGCGAGCTTCTTGATTTATATGGGAAAGTATTTCATATGATAATAGTATTATAATATATACCCCTTTTAAGACTCACTAGACTTGCAATATGTCCATTTATGGGAGCATATTCAACTCGGAATAACAAGGTGTCCCCTTTTGATTCAGTTGGATCCACAAAATATGCTATAAATGCATGCTATCTTTCCTCTTCTTTCTGGGGTGTCCTCTCTTCCTTACAATCGACCATGAAAAGAGGAGAACCACTAATTTTATTTATTTATTATTATTATTATTATTATTATTATTATTATTATTATGCATGATTCAGCATACAAAAAGCACCATCCTCCATCATTGGGTGATGATATATGGCGGTTGGAAAGGATAGCAAAAGATGGAGTTTTGCAAGGACTATTGGCATCACACAAAATATATACTGTGAAAGACTTCCTACAGATGTATAATACCAACAAATCCTCACTATGTGGGGTAAGTGATACTCTTTTCCATATTTGTTTGGATAATCATGTCTATGAACTTGTCATGGATGAATGACTATAACTATAAATTGGATAATAAAGCTACTTGGTGGGCCGAATAACAACAATTGGAAGAAGATTATCAAACACGCGAAAGCCTGTGTTTTAGATGAGAAGCTGTACATGTACAGCTGTGTTGCAGAAGGGATCGGGATTTTGTTCAATTCTATTTTGGAGGTTGTGGGTGCAACCTTTGATGGTGAATATCATATTCATATCTCCATGAATGAGCTTACCGATTCCCAGAAGGTTTGTATTTCATACCTTAAGACTTTGTACACTTCATAATCTTTTTCTTTTTTAGTAAACCCTAGTCATTTTGTAAAATTAAAGTATTAAACTGATGTTTCTATTATGATTTGTAGTCTATGGTGGAAGCCTTGAAGCAACAAATTTACAAAGATTTGGAGGGGATGTTACCAATGGAAGATTTATCAATGGTTGCAACACCAGTGCTAACACCAGTGCTAATACCAGTGCTACCAATGGATAATCTTTCTTTCCTTTCTCTCCAATTCCTCCCAATTTGAGAGGAAGGAAGATTGGTATAAATCTTGCGTTCTTTTTTATATTCTCTTCTTTCCAACAACTAAACTCATGAGTAATGACTTTTTACCAATCATCATGCTTCCATTTTTTCTTTCTTTAAATGAAACGCTGGAGCAATATGTAAAATTTGTATTTTTTTTATGTAAAATTTCTACTAAAACACTTTTTATTTTGCAACCATACTAAAATCATATTTTAATATTATAAATTCTAATATAATAATTATAATAGTTATAAAAAATAACAAACCAACTAAAATACTATTATTTTAATAAAAAGGGGTTTATGTGATGAATAATCCCACAAAATATGAAAGGAAACTATTCAAACCTTTTTCTTTGTGTGTTTTTTGTGATGAATAATATTTCACCAATTCGATCCTACTATTTTTATATTGAATTTAATGGTTGGTTGGAATACATTTTCACACTAAAACATCATTTTTATATCCAATAGAGTTGCCTTATAACTGCTAGCTAGTTTAGATTTATTCTCATCATTCATGTTTTGTTGTAGATATTTTGATTTTTGGTATACTATAGTATCTATTGTTGCTTATAAACCTTATTACAGATCAACTACAAAGAATGGCAGAATTGGATCCATTTTCTAATTTTTCAGAATAAAGAATGGCAGATTAATTGAGGTGAAGAAAGTAAGGGGTAAGTTTCTCCTATCGGTCACCCTATGTCCGATTTTGATGTATCATATAATAAACATTTTGGTTCTTTTATACGAATTCTCATAAGTTTTGATGTTTAAAGTGTATCATACTACAAACATTTTGTTCCTCTTATGTTATAAGGACCCTTGTAAGTCCTATCAAATGAGTGGATAACTTCTTTTGATATTTTACCATAACATTAAAATTATTATCACATAAGTGATGGATATGTTTTCATTACATTGATTGACGATGAAGATGTCTTTGGCAAGCCTCTGTTGATATAAGATAGATAATTTTAGTGCATTTTTTTAATTACATATTTGAACAACATGTGGTACCAAAACAACCTTAGTTTGTGCAAGCATCAATAGAACTTTTATTGAAAAATATGTAAAAGTCCTCAGTAAGGGAATATGATATACCATGTAATATTATCCAAATAATTTCCCAAACAACATCAAAATGTAAATATATATCACGTTGATTACTTAGGAGAAAGACATTTTAGGTTTAAAAATGTAAAGAGTTTTAGAAAGCACTCCCCTATCATCCAACCAAGCCAAATATATGACGTTAGAAATAATAAGCATCAGCTTATGATAGAAAAAATGGCTAAATGGGGTAAAGGAACAAGCAAACATGGAATTAGAAAGGCTTAAAAGAGCTTAGGAGCTTTTTGGTAAATCGCGTTGAATGTTGAATCGAATGGTTCCAACCTTTTAATGGTTAAGAAAATGTAAACACTTAGTTGCAAGGCTTTTGATTCGTTTAGAAGTCATTCAATTTATATGAAACACACCGAATCCTGATGGATTTAGAGGTGGCCTTTAATGGTTCCCATTTATAGTTTTCATAAAAAGCCTCAGTGGATATAAATTAAAAGGCCGTGTTCGAGCTATGTGGGCTAATTTGAGGTGTTGAACTATTATTGCCTACCTACGCCCTACATCATGCAATCAAAATTTAAAGTACAAGCTATGTGGGTCGGAGATTGGGCCCACCATGGTGAATTGCATGAATTGTTTGTCTCTTGAGTTTGGTTCGGACATCCTGAAAGTTTTGGATGCTTCCGATGTTGGATAATTATGGACCACTTCATAAATATGTACGGTATAATTTTAAATCCAATTATTATGGTAAAAATATAAATTGTTGATGGACCGATTTATAGAATATTCACTTATCTTGTGGGTTGAGTTCCCGGTTTGACTCAAGATCCTCAAGATCCCTTCCATCTATCACATTAGGGTATATCTCCATCTATATATACATGTGATGAGGAGCAATCAAGACACACGAAAATACACATGTAAATTCGTTTAGGGTTTGCTGAGGGATTTTACAGAGAGCTCTTGAGATCAACTGGAAAACCCAACTCTAGTTCTTCAGATCCAAAGATTATAATGAAATCAGGTATATAATCGTTCTTTCATGTTTAAGTTTTCTTTTTAATCAGATTCGAGATTAAAGATCCAAAGTTTATGCTTCCGCATTTTATGTTTTGGTTATGAAAAAATCACCAACAATTGGTATCAGAGCTTACTCAAATTTGATACTAGAAAAAAGTTTGATCGGTTTAAAACCATCAACATTATATTTTTCCCAAACCAAGAGCCTTTTCTTTTCATCATTCCGTCGAGATCGCATTTGTTTTCTTACTGGCGATGAGAGAATGATAGTATGGGCATTCGTTTCTCAAGAAAATTATTTGTTTCTTGAATATAATATGTTAAAATAATCTTTTGGTGCCAAGGCCAATAGCTGCTTTTGCTTGTACTCAGCTTTTCCTTGTTTTTCTTCCTAATATTTTATTTGGCAGAAAATACAACACCTTAATATTAGCAGCTCTTGTTCTAAGTTGTCAACATCATACATTTTGGTTGATATATATATATTTTTTTCAACCTTAACATGTGTATATGTTTTATTAATTATAAACATCAATTAAATATTTATTATGTATATGTAATTAAATCCATGAATCATGGACTTTAATATGCATACGATTTTTTTTTTTGGTTGGAAACTCTTAAAATAAAGATATATTACGTTAATATATTTTTTGGGATTTGCCGCTTATGTATTTAGGCGGTTTTCACATAAGGTATGATGCAATAATTAAGGTTTTTTAAAAGGAAAATGAATTTTCTTTTATTTTATTATTTGTTGTCTATGAACAACTATGTTTTTTCTGTATTAGACTTTTCCATGGATATAGATATGCAGTTTAATTATAGAGGTATTAAAACTCATTTAAATATTACACACGTTATGATATGTTATTAGTTCCATATAATATCTTGAATAGCTATGTATGCTTTCCTTTCCACAAGATATATTTTATTCATGATCATGTGAATATCTTTCTTTTTATGGTTGTGATTTTTTAAGAAGTCACAAGATATGTTTTTTTTGGTATGATTAGTATTTATCGGGTGTAATACAAACAAACTAATGGGTTGTTTTACGATTGAAAACAATGTATCAAAATTATAGGATTAATATTTTTTTTGGTTTTTGATTGATATAATATTGTTACCTATGTGACATCTATTAGTTTAATTAATTTGGTTGCAAATACTTAAAGTTTTATATGATATTGTTTATGTGAACTGTGTTCGACCTAAAGGTAGATACATTCAAAATATTTTAGGTTAATTGTCAATAAACTACAATTATGACATGTTTATTTATTTTCAGAGTAAATTAATTGACACAATATATCGCCAAAGTGATATCTTTTGTGAAAATTAATTTACAGAGAATTTAAATTTTATGGTTTGTGTTTATTAATGCGGATATTAATCGACCCAAAGGTAGGTTAATATTTGACCAGATAAATACATGTTTGATGATAAATATTCGACAATTTTTAGGTTACATGTCATTAATAAGTCAATCCAAAGAGGGGCTTATTAATTGATATGATATATTGTCAATTCTTATTATCAAAATTTATAGTTTATGTGTTTATTAATGCGGGTATTAGCCGACCCAAAGGTAGACTGATATTTGGCCGAATAAACTTATATATGGTGATAAACATGTGACGATTTTTTGGTTCAATGTGATTAATAAGTCAATCCAAAGAGGGGCTTGTTAATTGATATGATTTATTGTCAATGTTTATCTCTAAAACAAGGATATCTCTTGCAAGTTAGTATTACTGTCCAAAGACATGATATTAATGTTGTGTTGATACCTTGTAAATATGTCATAAATTGAATTTATTGATTACGGTTTATGGATTAACGAACATAAAAATAGATTTGCTTATGTTTGAATTACGGTATTATATATGTTAACATTGATCACATTTATGATTCATGTACTCAATGAGATTAACTTTAAGTAATAGAATGAAGGCATTATGTTAGTTCTCAATTGCTTGGATGTTAGACCTTGCATTTTGGATATAGCAACATTACTTGAGGATGTTGAGTTTGGGGGAGAAACACGGTTAAAACATTGTCCTTAAGGAGGAATCAATCTTGATTCCTATTATTGCTTTCGATAATATGCAGATTATGAATCAATGATTGACAATGTTATTCAATCTCATATTCAGAATACACAAACTCAACAACCTCAACTTTGGATATCCTATGTGTGGTACCACATTTTTCATCAATTTATTATCTATTTTGGTTTTGAAATAAATACAATAGATGATTTTATGTATCACAGATTAAGTGGGAATAAATTTATCTTTCTGGTTTTGGGCAGATATCTACGAACCTAATTTTGGATCATAAGAAAGTAGCCAAATAGATTTTAAGATATCTATATATAACAAAAGGCTATATGATCAACTATAGGAAATCAGATATTTTGGAGATCATTTTTATTAAAAATATGATTTTATTAGATGCCAAAAATGGTTACCGATCCATATCGGGATATTTTTACATTTTAGCATGATGAGCCATTTCATGGATTAGACTTCGGTAGCTTCTTCCATAATGGCAGAATAATTTGTAGTATGGAATATGGTTGCGAAAATTTGTCACGAGGCTACACATTATTGGTATTGAAAGACCACTAAAGTTGTGATAATAAGTCAACAATGTTATATTCCAACAACAGAAGTTTTATTAAGTCATTCATATTGAAATCAGTTTTCTTCTGTTAACACAATAGTGCAAAATGGAAATATATATAGCACATATGAACAAACTCCATGAAAGCGGATCCGCTCATAAAGGGATTACCTCCCTAGGTCTTTCATGAGCATACTACACATGTTGGTGTGATATTTGGTTTTAGTGAGAGTTTTATGGTGCTTTATCTGTTGTTTAACAACAATTATGTTTTTCTGTACAGAATTAAGAATTCGGTTAACTCCATTATTAGCTGCACTTATTTGAAGTTTGATCTCACTTCAAATTAAAAAGGAACTCGTTGGAAATCTATTTAGATTTTAAAACCACACATCATGTTTAATCTATGTCGTTAGTTATATATGTATATGTGACCATTGATAGGTTTAGTTACGTAAATTGTAACGAAGGCCGCTTTGATCCTATACTATTATGATTAGTGGACGAAATTGTTTAAGGGTACCAATGTTATAATAACATTCATTAAAGCGCTTATACAGTTATACGTACATTTATATATTAGTGGTCCAGTGGGAGATTGTTGGATAATTATGGACCACTTCATAAATATGTACGGTATATTTTTAAATCCAATTATTATGGTAAGAATATAAATTGTTGATGGACCGATTTATAGAATATTCACTTACCTTGTGGGTTGAGTTCCCGGTTTGACTCAAGATCCTCAAGATCCCTTCCATCTATCACATTAGGGTATATCTCCATCTATATATACATGTGATGAGGAGCAATCAAGACACACGAAAATACACATGTAAATTCGTTTAGGGTTTGCTGAGGGATTTTACAGAGAGCTCTTGAGATCAACTGGAAAACCCAACTCTAGTTCTTCAGATCCAAAGATTATAATGAAATCA